GTACCCTACAGATGACACAACTACAACTTTCAGCCGGCCGGCAAGCCGATCAAAGTTCCCCGGGCGCTTGTTTGAGGGAAGGTGCTTAAGAAGTTTTTCTGTTAATAATTAAGAGTATCCTAGTCACATAAATGATTGTTTAATATTACATTTTTTTTCATTTTATTTTATAACAGAGATTTCATAGTTACAAAATCGTTTACCAATATGATAGCTACTATGTTACAAAAATAGTACATAAAGGACACTGTTAACATCCACGACCACAGAACAAACGTCTTACGCTTAGAGAGATCGTAAACTGTATGGCCTGATTTCACTAGAGGCACTGCCTGCATAGCGGGCGCTTTTGTCAGGCGAGCGCGCAAATGAGCGATGAAACCGCGCGTGCAAATGAAGGGTGAAATAAAAACGTTTCTCCTTGTTCCCGCCCCATTCTCCTTACGGTTTTGACGCTCCTTCACTCTTTACTCCAACCGACAAAACCATCAGCTACGCAGGTAACTTGAGACATAAGTAAAAACTTTTGGTTTCTCTTTAAGTCCTGACGAAAAAAAATCTATAGTATTGTAGTGTTAATTTATCCTACAAAGTGGATCAGCCTGTTTTGCCACAGTGTTTAAACCCAAATCAGAAACACTTAGTCAGTCAGAACACTTTTTTCAAGTGACCTTAGATGAGACAGGATAGAGTAAAAAAAAAACCTAAGAAGCAGTAGATTAAGAACATTTGGGCTGAAATTAGGCCAAAATACGCAGCACATAGATATGAACCATAGACCACTCTATTCTAACGAATAACCTTTTAAACCTATTATTGGTTGAAAATCAGGGGTTCTTCTTATATGCGGGTTTTTACTGTAAGTTCCAACTTAACAATAATGTACGAAGAACAATAGATTTTGCGTAGTAGCATTAGATTCATGTCCAGTTCGACTTTTGATCTGAGTTTAAGGCAGACACAAAAACACTAAAGCAAACAAACTTCCAACGAAGAACGCATTCTTTTCTAGTAGAACAGTGTGAAATCCATTTGGTGGTCTTTTTATTTAGTTGTATTCTTTTCTTTTTATAATTTTTTTTTCTTTTGGTAATTTTAAAGAACGCAGATTTGGAGCCGAGCAACACAAGTGAATGGAATAAGACGGCTGACTAATGACCAACATGCTTAAGTCATATCACTTATTTTGTATATTTCTGCTTTATGTTGGTCGGTTGAGTCCATCTAGCAGTAAAACTGATATAAACAAACCTTTGTGTAATTGTTTTCTCCAGCCATTATCACATTTTCTAGCGGCCTGTGAAAATGTTAAATTGTTTTGCCGACAGCATAATGAAAACATATTTTGACAGATATGTTCAATCCACACCAATCAGAAAACCACATATCTCTGAAATTACGACCGGCTCTTGCTGCCTTCTTTTGGAGTTGACTTGCGCCCTGAATACGTTTGCTGGTAGCCATAGGTAGGAGTAGGAGTTTGCGATTGATCCCGATGTTGCTGATAGTACCCGTACTGTGGATATTGTTGGTATCCCTGTTGACTCGGAGTTTGGTTTGAAGGTGTCTGCTGCGTCGGCGTTTGTTGGAGTTGACTGCGCTGTTTGTTTTGCCGCTGTATGTGCTGGGCAGCGACCGCGCCCCACTGTGCAGGCGTAAGCTGAGTAGGCGTTGTCTTCGCTTGTGTCTCATGCTGTTGTTGCCTAGCAACCGCCGCAAGAGCTGAGTACACTTTAGGGTCATTGATTCCCCGGGGGAAGTGCTGTTGAAGTTGGGGTAACAGTCGGGAGGGGTCAACGTCGGTGTTAATCGATGGGGTACCCCCCGGTGTGTAGGGAGTATTGCTCTCTGACATGGGCATCCCACGATGACGAGGAGTACCTGGAAATAATAATATAAAGCAAATTGTTACTCCATGTTAAGGGAAGTATCTTTGTCTATGGTAAAGGAGGTAATTTTGCGAAGATTCGACACTGTACACGTGCAGCGTCAACAACTCTTTAACTTCTAAGAGTGGTAAAAATTCACAAACAAAACAACATTTCTTTTTGTAAAATTTGACGAAACTGATAGTACAAAGTAAAACGTCCGCCAATGAAGTTTCATTTGAATGGTAACATTATCGGTCTTCGTCATATATGATATATGTCTTCACATATCTTTAAGTTAGAGAGAGAGATCTTCTCCCCATAACATGGTCTAGGATTAAAGGGGTTAACTCATACTTCACTGTCGAGATATCTGGGAAAAACGATGTTTCTGCCGTCGGTGATTGAGTGTCACAGACCCCTGTAGGTCAATTAGGCGTATCAAGAAATGGCCCATTGTACCGACCTGAATTTTCCAATTAACGTTCAAACAATAGGCCCTTTGTTCCAGGTGACACCTACCCAGACCAAGCCGAAGTTTGTTTGAATAATCGGAAACCTTCGATAACAATACAACAATACCAACAATACAACAATAACAATACAAAACAATACCTATTGTTCTCGAATTCAGGTCGCTTTTCTTGATACGTAACTGGTAATAACCAAAGGTTAGGAAGAGCGGGCCATACCGATCGAAGGTCCAAACGCTTTTGCTCCATCGCTGTGCTCTGCGTAAGTTTCCCGTGACAGATGGTCAGAACGCACGTGATCAGATTGCGAGGGGCAGAAGGTGGAAACGCGCGTGATCAAATTGCGTTGTGTACATTCAATTCATTCTTAATGGAAGTCCAAAAGAATGCTGGCTACATACATGCGGCCCATGCGTAATAACAACCTAGAGATTAGGATTGCGGTTCTCCCTTGTCGCCCGCAAAAATTTTGGCGGCACCACAGTCTCGATAATCGAGATAACGCTTGATATACAATCTAACCTCCCGAAAATGAGCACCAAGATTTGGTGGTCGCTTACTAGAGTCGAACTACTGTAGAGAGGGTCTTTTCGACAGAGAGGTCCAAGGACACGCCCTTTTTGGAAGACAATAAATTGCATGCAATTTCCAAGTTACGATTTGCGTAGTTTTATGTTGTTACTGGAATTTCTTCGCATACTCTAAGTAGCAATTCGTCGCTTAAAAGACCGTCAAAACAATGGAAAACCCTAAAACCGTCACAACAAAATTTGTTGCGGTCGCTTACTAGAGGAAGTAGTAAACGAGAAGTTCCAACTATGACTTTTTGACAGGTCCTGCATGTGGGTTCAGCCAATTCTAGGACTAAAATAAACACCTACCAGGTATAGGGTCTCTGAAGTGTTCCTTGAACCACCGGAACAAACCATTTAAAGTAGCATGTACTCTGCCCCGATATCGGAACCCATCCGGTGTCACACTGACATACTCCACACGGGCCTTAACACGAGGAAGATACCCCAAGAAAAACTTCCCAGGGAAGTCTTTTGTAGTACTCATGAAGTAAGGAATTCTTTGCGGGTGTTTCCGTTTCTCCGCAAGCAGCAACTCTTCCAGCTTGGCTTTGACGCCGTCCACGGCGCGATAGTTTTTGTGGTTGAGAACTTCTCGAACAAAAGACGCCATGGGCTGAATGAACCGCGCGATGATCTCATCAAGATCTTCAAATTCCTACAAAGCAAATTACAATATTCTAAATTTATAGCAGTGAACTAGAGTCAATTTTATTGGCTATTTTTAGGCACCGTGTAAATCTGGGTTTGTGTTGGACCAAAAAACACTGTGTGATTTTTCGTGTCCATATAGTATGGACACCTATCCGATATGTCTCTCTCCACTTTAGAGAATGACGCGGCGCTGCGTCACAAAAATCGCGCCGAAATCACCGTTCAAAAGTGTTAACAGAAGATTTTCTTGCTAGCGCAAACGCTATCCAGTATAGTGTGAACACAGTCTTAGCCACAGTCTCTTCGCAACCTTATAGTAACCAATAAAGAAATGACAGCGCCCCTAAAACAGGCCCAGAGTGCATTTCGACACAATATCGACCCAGTTCCATGCGGTGGAGCAACCTCAAAATGGCCAATAGAAATTTCTTAAGCACTGCGCACTTTTCACTTACTGTTGCAGCATATTAGACTATATATGAAGATTAAGTCCCAAGCAAACGTTATTTTTGCTCTTTCGCAATCCGCCCTACGGGAAGGAACGCGTGACGAAATCCTAAGAACCTCTGCGTGAGAGGCTCGTAATATGCACAGCAATCAAATCAAATAAATGAAAGAACCTTTACAGACATATCAGAGGGATTTCCCAAACGCACCTCGCTGTCAATCCAAAGTGACCGACCAAGGCTAAAAGCGTTCTCTTTGCCTTCTTCTCGCACATCCACATGCTGGTAAACTCCTTCATCAACCTTCCACGTGACGGTCAGATGATCGGCACCCTGAAGGAAAGAGACACAAGTATATTGGATTAAGATAGCAAGACCCTGTCATAACTAATACCGCGGTTTCCACTTTACACCACTAAGAACGTCTCTTCAGTTGAAGTGTATTTGAGTGTCATTGACCGCGTTTAGCAAAAGGTACGAAAGAGAAGGCCAGAAATTGAGGCGCGCGAGCTAAGCAAGAGGCTGTTGCTTAGTTATTCTATAGTTACCCGCATGTCGATGTTTAAGTTAATTGATCTTAATAAAACAAGAATAATAGAATTTGACGTTGAATGATAACAGGGTCACAAAAGGGAGGAATTTGTGTCGAAAGTTCCATGTGACCCGGCAGGCGGGAACCTGCGGTTTTCGAAGCACCGGAGAGTGGCTTGTATGGTTCCCGCTTACGGGGTTATTATGGATACCAAAGTGCTATCTCTCGGTTATCTTAGACCCTACCCCGCTACCTCTTAAGGTATCAGTTCCCAAACTCATCAATTTGCAATGTTAAATAGGGTAAGAAATAGGCCCTGGCCCACAGGTTCTTTTTGTGGCTGCGCCCATTAGAGCGTTGCGACTCCGCCTCCAGCCAGTCCAACGCAATAGCGACACAAACGAGAAAAACTGTGTGGTCCCCTGTGAACGTGCATGGAAATCGTTACATTTCATTGACTGATTGTCATGGTTACCTTGCTGCTGGGTCTCACAATACATTCTCCTTGGTCCATTTCAGCTAAGAGTCTCTCGGCTTCCTTGAAGGAAGTGTTCTTAAATGCCGGGTGTACAATAACACGCTTCACGTATTCTAAATAGCAAGATTTGAATAACAGGACAGTGTTAACCTAGAGTAAAAGCAAAGGAAACTAACTAAAAAAAAAAAAACTACCGCATTAAGTGTTTCTAGATGACCAACAAGCACGATCACTTCAACGAACTCTTTATTGATTGCCTGCTCATAACATGCTTTTGGCGAACTGCCCCCAAGAACGACCAATCAGGTCAAAATTTTGAAATGTTAGTTCTTGTTGACAGAGGAAAGCAAACAGGAAAAAGCCGAAAGATTTGTACTCATTCATTTCAGCCAGCTTACGAATTAAGATAGTGGCGTTCGAGTTTGCTCGCGGTCGAGTTTGTTTATGCTATCAAAACGAGACGACGATTTCATAGTATCAAGTTTTGGCAAGATTTACGTCATTACTGTTTGGCATGAGGACATCTACGGTCGCTATACTGCATATAAAAAAAGTAACAATGATCACTTCCCCCCATACTTTGACATTATCGTCTTTAAGATGAAAAGGTCTTCATTTCCTGTTGTCTAGAATAAACAAACTCAACCGCGATTTCTTCCATTGGCAATTTTTTTCACTTGTTTGCCTCATGAGAAACCATGTGACATTGCCTTTATCCCATCAGTCCTTGAGCGCGTGCAAACATGGCGGGTATCGTGAGCAAGGTCTATTACACACGTAAGGACAGAAAAGAGCAAGTTATCAGGTCTGTCAGTGGAGGTGTGTACTCACTTGGTCTGTTTGCTTTCTTTTTGGCCGCTTCATCTTCCTTTTTGTCAGCGTCAGCAGAATCGTGATCATAATACAAATCTTTAAGAGGACTGAGCAACAAAAATAATTAATATCATATACTATATAACTGCAGATCCCTTTATAAGTTACAGAGACCTAGAAAGAAGACCGATATGAAAGCCCATGGTTATCTAAAGTAAAATCAATAACTACAAAAAAGTTGGTGGTTCGTGATACACCAATCGCTATCAACTTCTGTGGTATCGCCTGATAAAGGTCAGCAGTATGCCGGCGAAAGGTCGCGATCAATAACTAGGTGACTATCATGAAACAAACGATAAAAGAACCACATAAATGAACCCGTCACACACATAACAGGATGAATACTACGTTTCATACAAATCAGTTATTGAAAAATCCATTTACTTTCATCCTCACAGCTCTATTATGATAATACATATTCCCCCACACACTTCATCTGACATTAGCAGAGAGAATTTGTCTAAAACTAAAGACACAACCTTTAATAACACTTTTGCTACCCTCTTGACAGCTATGTTAGCCTGTTATAGGCGATTAGAAATCCTAGAGACATCCAAAATAGGCAAGCCAAGACGGAGCAGGGGGGAGGGCAGATTTCTTCTTCGCCCCCCGTTTTCATTTGGCGCCACGCCGGAACAGGTTTCCTTTATGCATAAAAGGGGTGAAAAAGAATGTTTTTAAAAGCAGATGTTACGCAATATTAATGGTTACATGTGCTCAAGGTACCTGTATTTTCCTTCTTTATCGGCCAGGTCAGACGAGCGACAGGTCAGATCAAGTTGTAGCCGCTCCATGTTTATGCGCGTCACTCGGCAATGCAGAGTCATGCCCACCTGAAATTGAGAAAATAGTTCAGCAATGTGTCTGTAGCATGTAACAAGTGGTGTCTTGGCATCTATACTTGTTATAGGTATGATAAATGCGTTAATGACCAAGCATGAGGTCAAGATGCCTTGTATATTAGCCAAGTTCTTTTTTGCGTTTTTGTAGACCGAGATTAAGGGGGTGTTTACATGACACCGGGGCGACTTTCGCCCCGGAGCGAGTTCACTCCGGTTTGCTCTCGTGGCTCTATATTTGTTTACATGATACCACCACAAACTGTCATGCTGGCGCGAGTCACCCCGGTTCTTGTGCCGGGGCGAGAATTTCACTCCGGTACGAAATCTCGCAGCGGTATCATGTAAACGCGAAACGACCACCCGTTTCGGTGTGAAATCGGTCTGCCCGTAGACTGGAACGGGTAGCGCATGCGTAACGTTTGCGAGTTTGAATCACACGTGTATTTTATCAACATGAAGTGTACCTTCAAATAACGAGATATGAAGTGACCCAGTCATCATGTAAACGCGATACGAAATCAAAAAGTCATCCCGGTATGAAACTCGCGCCGGTGCGAGTTTTCTCATGTAAACACCCCCTAAAAGTCGAAGTCAATAACACGCAAAAAAGAACAAGGCCAATAACCAGAACTTTATCTTGCGGGACTAACGCGGGATATCCCGAGGCGGCAAGATGCTCGGGTAGCGCGCGGATTCAGGAATATCATAACACGTTCAATAGCCTGCTTAAGATCCGACGACGGCAGACGTCTGTGACGGCGAGCGGAAGTGAAATTACTGCTAGAAAGACTTCCGGCTGCCGTCGTTGCGAAGTTTCCCGCCGTAGCGGCCTTGTCTGTGACGTGAAGAAGGCCATTTTGCCGTCGCGTGTAAAACGTGAGTAAACTTGATCAAAATAATGCCATTTAAACACATTTTGAGCGAAATTCTTTAGCACTGTTAACAGTTTATTCTCAGTACACCATTTTTGTCGAATTTCTAAGCGACTTAAACGATTTGAACACAGTATTTAAATTAAATTTGTTTGCCTTCTCCAAACAGTTTAACTCGTTAATCGCCATGGACTCGGTCAACTCGACAAAGAAAGCAACCCAGTCATTTTTACAAGTTTTTTCTTGTGTTGATTGATGTGTTTATTAACAATTATGATAGGGTAGACTTGTTTCGGCATTAAATTGAGGTCCAATGGATTATGCCACTCATCTTTTCCCGAAATAGCGTTTTTTTTTTATTCGGCTTCTCTTACAATGTAATTTTAATCAAGAGCTTTCAGTAAGGCAAAAAAAATGCATCGTCGTTGAGACACGAAACGCTTGCTTCTCGAAACTGCTCAAAATACAACATCACGATTAGTTAATACTTGAATTAGGCGGCATATTGCACATGTACACATGTACACAAACATGACTGATTTGCTTTAGAAAGATCTGAACTGATTTAACGGTGAGTCGATTTAACCGGTTTCCAAGGTCCCCTGTTCGCATGTATACGAGTCAGGCAACCCCATTGCCTCTTTGAGAATAGGTATGTCACTTTTTCTGAAACGAAATTCTGCTAAGAATTCACTTTCGTCAAGCCTCTCGAGGTCAAAATGTTTGTAATTCTGGTAGGGAAAATCCGGATTTTTAGATCTGTTGACATCATACAACAGTAAAAATTCATCTTCTGAAATGTCATCATCATCGAAACTTGTCAGTAACCATTCACGAACCTTTCTAAAAGTAGCCATCGCTCTTGTATTTATTTCTAAACTTCAAAAGGCGCTACAACAACCCGCCGTCGCGCGAGCTTTCTTAATGCTATTTCTCGCGCCATTGCGACGGCGACCTCACCCCAAGCCCCCTCGACCAAGTCTGCCGTCGTAGAATCTCGCCGTCGTCGGATCTTAAGCACACTAATATCTCTTACTGAAAGAGTCCGAGGTCGAGTGCAAGTTACATGGCGAGTTTTTTCTTTGGGTGTGGCTGTGTAAGTCGCATTTCTCACAGCCCTGCACGAGCCATGAATTCGTTTAACAAAACAAGGTTCCGTGACTCTAGCACGTTCTTAGAATCGGATTCAAAAGAACGAAAGCAGGCGAAACAGTAGACATAAACTGAGATAAACTGCGAGGAAACTCTTCATTTTGGGAATACCGCGAGAGGTCACGCAAGTCACGAAAGGAGACGCGAGAGCTAGCCCCTCGTGGCTGCGCCGCTCGCTCGCATGCACGTTCTCTCGCCACTCGAAATGGAGAGCTTGCTCGCAGAATAAATTTCAATAATCTTATTCAAGAACTGCTTCTGGGCAATCACGTGACTGAGGTTACCTTGACTCTTTCATGAGGGGTGGTTATCTGCTTATCGCTTATCATCTTAGTAGCGATAAATCCCGACAGACCATTCTCCATTCTTGTGCGAACCCCAATCGCCTGCCCAGCACAGCTTCCATTATCAAGATGTGTCCACACCTACACATACACAAAAAGTAACACTCAAGTTTACACTCAGCCCAAAATTTACAATTCTGCGAGATTTCTCAAAGACGCACAGCCAACCTTCCACCACTTGGACTGTGGCAGGATTAGAGTTTGACTGCAGAACGGAAGGTCACGGGTTCGGGTCGCAGGTTCGGGTGGCGGGTTCGATTCCTGGGACAGGGCAAGGGTCTTAAAATAGCTGAGAAATGAAGGTACTGCCTTTTCCCTGGCTTGGATGACCACATAAAATGGTAGTCTTTTTTCGTCTCCAGTAGGAGACCTAAAGAAAGTCACTCGCGTGGACAGCAGCTTTGCAAATTCATTGGAACAAAAGAAACTGTTTACTTAAGAGAAAGGTTCCACTCCCACAGGATAGGTTTGGGACACCAACATGGCGAATGTGACATTTTGTTTGGGAAGGGGGTGGTGGGTGCTTTGCACTACCACCACGGGTGGAGTTTTTACGTCGCTTAGATCAGAGGGGACACTGCCATTGGCCCTTATTCCTGACAGGTTGGGGGTGCACTAAATTCTATCAGGGTGGAGTTCCTACCTTGATTAGATTGGGGAAAGTGTCCTGTAGACAGAAGGGGCACATTGGCCAGTCTCGTCATTCCTGACAAGTTTTTAGTTTCATTTACTTTTACAGATTTTTTTCCGGGGGGGGAGTGGGGGCGCACTAAATTCTACCAGGGAAGAGTTCATACCTCACTTATATCGGAGAAGGTATCCTCCAGACAGAAAGGACACTGCCATTGGCCAGTCTCGTCATTCCTGACAAGTTTTTTTACTTTTATTTGGCGGGGAGGGGAGATGTGGGGAAGCACTAAATTCTACCAGGGTGGAGTTCATACCTCGCTTATATCGGGGAAGGTATCCTGCAGACAGAAGGGACACTGCCATTGGCCAGTCTCGTCATTCCTGACAGGTTGGGCCTGATCAATAACGTCACGTGGTGGCTTCCTGTTCGCAAACCCGGTTACATTACACACCACCAGCTTGCCAACATAAAGAGAGTCGTTTGTTTCCCCTGTCAATAATCTGAAGCGCTCCTCTACCGACAGGGAGCGGTACGGGGGACGTCGCTCCCTGTACTGACCAAACAGCTCATCTCGAATGTCGTACAATGTCAATCCTTTGTTGCCATATCCTTGCCGTTCAAGCTCTTCTGCAAAAGCATCGAGATCTAAGTCTCTTAGCCGATCTGGAGCTTCAAGAATTTCTTCCAAGGCTGCTGAAGGGTTTGAATCCATCGTGGCCTGCGCAATAGATAGAAAACAAACTTGTTAATAATTCACTTGCGATTGTAGCTGCTAAGAATACCAAAACTACCTCTGTGTCAGTGGCTGGGTTAAAGCTTTTCTAATTCTACTTCTAATCATGTTATCTGCAAGTGGGACATCGTATCACGGCAGAAGACAGGCTAGGATCTAACTAAAGCAAGATAGGCTTGCTCTTTTACCTTTTCTGGGCACTTATTTAGGTTTCCTCTTTTAAAGCCAACTGATCGGTTGGCTTTGCCTATCATTCCAGCAATATGAACATCCCAGTTTAGATCACTGGATAGCTCAACTCCAAGGTATTTGTGGTGATCAACAGCCTCCAAGGGTTCTCCGTGGATGGTGTATTATCGGTATTCAACCAGAGATTTCGAGCACGAGACTCTAAGGATGGTGCACTTCTTTGCATCAAATTACATTTGCCAAGTGTCTGCTCAGTGTACAAGTGAGTTTAGGTCTTGCTGTACTAGTAGTGACTCTGCATCACTGCAATCTTTGAATACACCATACAAAACAGCGTCGTCCGCTTGTGTTTTCGCCGATATCGTTTAGCTTTATAACTTACAGCCCGCATGGCCGGCTTTTGAAGGGAAAAGGGGATTAACGCGCGTGAGAATGCGTTGAGCGCGCGAAGAAGGAGGTACTTGCCCTTCCTCCTTACTCGCGCGCATTAATTCCCCTTTTTCAACTTCAAATTGCTGTCACGCTGGTTTCGTTGCCTCATCATACTCAAGTACGTCAACAGCCATCGCGCAAGAACGCAATAGGCGCGCAAGGAAGGAAGGAAGGAAGGGAATTTCCCCCTTCCTCCTTCCTCGCGCGCCTTAACTCCCAGCAGTTGCCACACAACTTCCACGCAGGCTAATTTCGTTACCTCGTCATACTCGAGCGCGTCAACGGCCATTTTCTTAGCCCACTTATATGTTTCAGGATGTACTCTAGACCCATCAAGCACTTCTATGTAGTTTGTAGTTGTGTCGCTGATGGCTGCTGTGTCAATCTTAATGAATCCTGCACAGTTTAGAAAGACCTGAGGTCCCAGTCCATACACGGTCACCAGCTGCGAGCGATTCTCCAACCTGGTACTCTGCTGCCTTAAGCTCTGAAAAAAAAAGTTTAACAAGTGATTCTCAAAACAAACTCCACAGTAAAAACTATTAACCAACCTGTTAACCACAATGTTTTGAACACAACAGACTTTTTTTAGAGGCTTCTGGCCTCTATACTATCAGTAACACAGAAACCCATTCTGCCTAAGGTTGAACCTAAAGGCAACTTTCATCCCCACACCACCATTACATCATTTTACTTGGGGGCCACTAATATGACGACATGTAATGTAATCCTGACTTTGGAGTCTGTGGATGAAATCCTATGGTGTTACCATTCAAATGAAACCTCTTCAGCGGTACATTCACATGGTACTATTATTTTATTTAGTATGTAGTCCTAACTTTGGAGTCTGTGGATGAAATCCTATGGCGTTACCATTCAAATGAAACCTCTTCAGTAGTTGCACGAGTTGATTATTTAGTTCTGCTTGAAATGCCATCTTTTCTATTGTATTATACAAGTAAATGGACGCAATCAACTTAGTCGATAAACCTTAACTTTTCCCCCTTCAGTACTCCTTTATTGGGTACTTTTTGATTTTATGTACTTTTTAAGATAAAGAACAAGACTTTGTTGCCTTCCAGGAAATCTTGGGAGTAAGAGTAAGTGGCTTTTTAACAAAACATCTGTACATTTTGGGAGGGGGGAAGGAAGGGGTGCGGGGAGGTCGGTCATCCAGACATTGAGATAAGGGGGGCCCCGGTCTCAAAAAAATTTTTTTTAGACCTTACAGGTCTCTGTTTGGTCTAAAAATAAAGGAAGGCCTAGGCCCCTCACCTGGATCTGACACTGATAACACCCAATTCAAAGTAACTTTGGTAAAGGAACGTACCTTCAATAGAGAAGTGGCCTTTCTTGGTCCCGGTCCACAAACAAACTGTAGTAGAGCCACTGTGTGGGGATGCTCCAGTAAGCGATTAGGGTCAACGCCTACTTCATTTACCACTGTCACAAATTCCTCATGAAAGCACTTGATGAGACGCTCCTTGGGAACGTGGCCCTAAAACAAAGACCACACGTTTCTTAGGAAATGCCCACCTACCCCTCCCTTAACCCAGCATTTTCTCTCAGGTAAGAGGTAGTGTTAACACTGGGAGGGGTGGGCAGTTTCCCAGAATAACCAACCTCTAATTATGTCCTTATTCAAAAGGAAGGTCTCGCAATTTTAGCTCATTTCAGCACTAATCAACCGTCATGTACTTAGAATGTTCACAGTCCCCTATTTTTCAGAAAGATCATCGGAATCGAGCGCTTAACAGTCATCTTGTTTTCAAATGTACGGGGGGGGGCAGGGGCGTGTCCCGGGGTTTCTCGCCTCCTCCCAAACCGTCCCCGCCCCCTTAGTAGACTTTGTACGTTTGAAACCAAGGTGGCTGCCCAATCGAGGCCATCTTAAGGAATAATAGGGGAATGTGATACAGTCTAATACAGTCTCCTGTATCACATAATTGACGGACGCTTTAAAACAATACTTTATCCTGAGAACACCAAAGAAATACAAAACAGCCAAAAGGGAACAAGGAAAAGCAAAACTGGGGACAAAGTAAACAATTTATCCTAAGGTTTAAAGGTCAGCTCCCATAAGCCTGGTGGTTCCTTTTCTCGAGGTATCAGGAAATCCTTGTCAAAAATAGCTGTAATTGTCTGGTAAATATTTCAATGAGTCAAACAAATTGTTGTTGTTGTTGTTGTTGTTGTTGTTGATGATGATGATGATGATGATGATGATGATGATGATGAAAGTATATAACAAAAGCATAACACACATTGTACTGAAAGAAACATGTTAAGGTCTCAAACTTGCGCCCCAACCTTGGTAAAAGATTTCTTAATTTACACACAGCACTCTCAACATGAAAATTACAGATCATTTAACAATTTTCAGTTCGCACCTGAGGTGATCTTCAACCTAAAATCAGATTGATAATAAAACATACAATACTATTTTACATTTGTCATCTGCCGATCCGGATCATACCTGGAAAGGATGCAGCCTTAAACAAAGGAGCTCATCTTCCTCAACACACAAAGCAGCAAATTCAGACAGAGGATCTTGAATTCTTCGGCCAAGTGACACAGCATGACGCAGAAGGGATGGGTACTCAAGAAACTCATTCTGGAAATAAGAATCGTGAAAAATAAGTCTTAAAAGATAAATTTAATCAAATGTATTTTGTTTTGCTTTACTCTGCTGCCAATCTGCCTCTTAAAAGAACGAGCAGGGTTATGGGTCAAGTTAGCTTTCACAAAGAATTCTGGGGTTGTTACTGGCGATGCGCTCTTCAGTTAATAGGAAGTATGAGCCAGTCTCAAAAAAAAATTCCGCCAGTCTGGTCTAAAAATAAGGGGGGTGGGGGAGACCGCGCCCCTCCCCTATAGAACATTCAAGCCACTTGTAAACTAGTGGAATGAACTTCAGCCATAGCTCCCTACACTTTGGAGAAATGAATCACACCTATTTTCAGACTCATTGGCCACATGTGTTGGCTTTGAGGTCTTAATTAGTCAATAATACATTTTATTTTGAATTTCAGAACACATTGTTATTGGCCATGAGCCCATAAGACTAAGGATATTGATGTTCTTGGTGTGGTTTCCCCTACATTCACTTAATATCAAGGAGCTGTTGTTTTCAGATAATTCTACAGTTCAAATGATGTACGTAAAAGAGGTCACTCGTTACGACCAAAATTTTCAGCTATAAATTTCCAGTCCCGTGCTGGTGACATGTTGATCACATCATTTCTCGTTTCTTCCCAGAGCTTAAAATTCACCATCATTCTTTATTTAGAACAACGTTCTTCTACTTCAGTGGGAAATTTCAAATAGAAAAGGAAAACAAAAAAACAGTACTATCCCATGTAACTTACTTCGGATCGGGGAGAGGATGTGAAAATGCGAGCCACTTCTCCATCAAGCGCCTCAACAGAGATGGTTGGAATTTGATTCTCTTGTTCCAGTTCTGCAATGCACATCTTCATGTCATCTACCACAGAGAGTGCCTCACGACATTCAGCTGCGACAACCACAACCTGTGGACGCTTCTTCAGGACGAACTGTTTCAGAGTTGCCATATCTTTTTCCTAAGAAAACACGGCACGATCGCATTAATTTTTAAACCCTTTCACTACCAAAAGTGGTTAAAGTAAGAAATAAAATTAATGCAACAACATTTCCAAATTTCATTTTGTAGAAGTTATTTCTTTTTGTTATTTGGATTCCTTGTTCTCATGACCACATACTGTCACTCATAAACCACATTATGCAGGTTTATATTTTGACTAGACAGAGGTCCTGAGCTAATTTTTTTAAAATTGATTGCTGATTTCTGTAACTTTTAAGCCCCGTGCAAACGGATGCAACTTTATTGGCCAACAACTCCCAACATTATTGGGTGTTACATGTTGCGTCCATTTGCACACCCTGTTGCATGTTGTTGCACAATTTTTGAAACCGGTCAAACTTTTAGCTCCTGCAAACAGACACAACAACTCCCAATATTGTTGGCCAACAATGTTGGGAGTTGTTGTGTCCGCTTGCTGTCAAACCTTCTTGCATGACCACCTCCCATGAGTGACCGTCTATCCACAGCACCAAAATTTTCCTAGTCAAGGCTCTGTAAGTTTGAACCACTCGTAAAGGACCATGACCACTTTTTGGGCTGAAGGTTTTATAATTTTCCATTGCGTTTAACCTCTTGTAGGTGACCACTTGACCCATGGTCTGATCTCTCTCTCTCTCTTTTTTTGTAGCATGTACTATCAAAAATGCTACTAAGAGTATGCGAAGAGCTTTTAGTGACAACATGGAACTACAGATATTGTAACTTAGAAACTGAAAGTAATAAACATGGAACTAGAGATATTGTAGCTTAGAAACTGAAAGTAATAAATTCTTTACTAAACAGTAGATGTCTCAGGAACCTCCTCTCAAAAGACATTCCTGTAGTTTGATTCTTGCAAGTGACCACCTCCTATCGCCAGCCACTAAATCTTCACATTTTAGGTGGTCGCTGATGGGAGGTTTGACTGTACTATCGGGTTGTCATTAAGAAGCAGGGGCCGGGAATTTCCCTTGGCTACTATGAATCTGGCCCTCGGCTACTTTCATAGGAAAGTAGAAGAAAAATACAACCAAAGGAAATCCCTAGCTGTTTGATTCCCCACCTATTTGTTGTATTTACCCGGCAACTCGAAATCTTAGTGACATCCCTGGTATTAAGAATTGAAGATTTTTGCCTCACAATATTATTATACCCTGCACTCTTGTCCAGGTCGATTCCGATTGAAACTGTCAGCAGACCATCTTCTTCTGCCTTACACATGAGCAGAAACTGATCACCTTTTAAGTCTCTAACAGGCTTGTTTTTAATATACTTCAAACTGCTGCATGAGTGAGATTCATCAATTTCCTAATGAAATAAAAAAAAAAGTATTGTTGTCACACTTTACAGAGATGCGAAATGTCACCACTTGATTAAAAAACAACAACAAACAAATGTGGACATTGAAATGTTGTGGTTTTAAAGCATTACTTTTATGCCTTAAAGTTGAAATAAATAATATTAGTAAAATCCAACTAGTGGTCTATTATCAATGCTGCGTTCTGATTGGTTGAGCTACTACTAGGCTATATGTTATAGCCTACGAGTAGCGAAAAGCGCCAGCTTTTTGGCGGCAAAAAAGGATTAACGTCTGTCTTTAACTAGCTAAAATTCTTTTAATCTCAATATTTTTGACCATCCTCGCCCTAATGGCCTCTGAGTCAATAGCCCATTCAGCCTTCAGCCTCATGGACTATTGACTCAGAGCCCATTCGGACTCGAGGAATAATTGTTAAATATCAAAACAAGATCCCTAAAGTGTTCGAAAGCTACTGCTATTTTTTTACCTTCTTTCCTTTCTTAGTAGGTTTAATCTTTAGTTTGGCTCTCTCATAGAATGTCTGCCTGACACACTGACGAACCAATGGATCTCTTGCAATCTGCATGGCTACCATATTATGCCAAGCAGCTTCCAGAACTTGATTGACAGTTGAGAATGTACTATTAAGGAAAATAATGAACTCTGCAGTCAATCTGAAACTACTTGGACAAACCAGCAGCTATATATGAGCTCTAAAATCATTTTTCTTCAAAATCAGGTCATAAGGCAGTGTACAAAGAAAGTAGTGTCCAATAGCCCGGGGCTAGTGATTTCTGTTTTTAACTTGCCCAATGGGCAAGTGATTTTTTTTGTTAGGAATTCGAGTAAAAGATGAACTGAGAAATCAATTCTGTTCATCAAAAAGCTTTTGGGGCTAGTTGAAATGACATCTGGGCTAACAAATACTAGCTCAGCTTGCCTGAATGGCAAGCTGTAAAGATGATTTTCTTTGCACCCTGTAAGGAAGACCACTATGTGATAATGAGTTCTGTTTACATACGAATGATAGCCATCATATCAGACAATTCACACTTAAAACAAATTCAACACGGCCTACATGACTGAATTGCCTCTTATTTTTTTCATTCTGAGTGGGACTTGTTATTTAAGATAAAAGGCCTGTCCACACAGAGGAGACCAGATTGACATGTGGCTAAGACAGCCCTTGAATGGAACCCACAGGGAAAGCATAAGACAGGGGGTCCCTAACGAATGTGGAGGCATGCAAGGATGTTAGTCCTTGAGGACAAAGGACTTTTAATTAAAACTTGGCATAAGGCAAAATTTTGCTCAAAATGGAGTCAGATGGCAAGCGTTTATGGTGAATCAATGTTCCATCGGCAACAAAGAGGATTGATGATTTAGGGTGGGGAACGGGTAAGAGGTGGAGGAAGAACAATATTGCTCATACATAACTACCAGAAACTCTCGAAAGTTCATTCCTCTAGTTCATTCCTCTAGTAAACAAATTATTCATATTAATTAATGACCTGCAAGTGTAGTTCAAAGGTTTTGATTTGAAGCAAAAAATGCTACTAGCAAAATGCAATGTCTTCTCACCTACTAAGGTAATTTTCAGCTGTTTCATCTGGTTCAGCGGGATGTTGCTCTGTTTCATGTCGTTGGTAGTTGTCACGCAAGTTCTCTCCTAACTGATCTGGTGTCAAGCCAAACTTTCTCACCAATCCACTCACACCTGAAATAATAATTAATGTGAAACTATGAACAGAGGAATACAAAAAAAATATATTAAAACTCTCACTCCTAAGTGAGTACTTTCAAAAGTAATTAATTAAAACGTTCAAAAAACATTTTCAAATTTCTTTGTGTAAATCCTAAAAAAATATACATTAGAAGGCAAAAGTCCTCACAAAGAAGTTTTATTTGAATGGTAACGGCAAAGGATTTTATCCAAGGACTCAAAAGTTAGAATCAATGACTAAAAATTAATAATTACCTCACCATGATTTGGTTGGGGAGTGAGAGAATTTTCTTATAATGCAATTGACAAGAAAAAAAAGTGGTGGTAAATCTTTGGGGTTACAAAGGAGGTGGGGCGGGGATTCAGTTTGCGTACATATACAAGAGATTAAGTGCTCGGAGGTGTCAAAATCTGTGGTTTAACTCAGCTGAAAATTAACAGCAGTCAACCATACGCACTGAGAAAACAACTTGACTATGACTTTTGCTACACACAAACCCTGATTTACGGACACCTCTTTTTTATGGAAGGTTTACTTGTCCCTGGGGAAAGAAAACCCTTAAATTTTCTCTAAATTCAACCTGCTCAATACAGACACTACATTAATAAAGACACTTTCTATGGCCCCCTCAGTGTCTGTGTTAACCCATTCGAAGTCAGCCTTGCTCTCTACAAGTCTCTCTGATGCTCAGTGGACAGAGCATCTGCCCAGTGTTTGTGAGATCATAACAGAGCTCTAAAACAACTTAAATTCAAGCTTGTCCTTTGAGCAAGCAGTTCTCACATTTTGCTTGCCCAGGCAGAGCTGTCATTATGAGCTGGGGGCTGGGGACTTCCCCCATTACAAACATGGCCCCAGCTACTTTCATAGAAAAATAGAAGAAAAATAGAATCGAAAGATATTGCTAGCTGTCTGATTCCCCACCTACTTGTTGTATTAGGCTGATTTAGCAACAGAACGAGACCGTCATTTGATGACGGGAAAGTGCTCAGAAACGACTAAACTCAACTTCCCTTGCCCAATTTTTCGCACAGCCATTGGTAAAGCCGGTTGTTTTATTTGTATACACTGCCGCCAACTGACTCTCGTTCTGTTGTTAAATAAGTCTATTTACCCAGCAACTTGAAATCTTAGTGACATCCCTGCCAGGGCTGCTTCTTGCCTGTCTTAGTTAATAATTTAGTTCGAGGATGACTTGCACAAACCCTTACCCATTGGGCAAATAATTTTCAAAAGTTACTTACCCAGCAAGAAAATCTCCCGATCAATTTAGGTTTCTGAGAAACTGCCCACCTACCCCTCCCCTAAGCTAGCATTAACACTTACATCTCACTTAGGGCAAAATGTTGGCTTAGAGGAGGGGTAGGTGGGCAGTTCCTCAGAAACCTAAACTGATCCAAATCTACTTGTCTCAGCTACCGGACAGGACCTTTTTTAAGCCCTGTCATAGGTTTAAATCCTGATTTTTTCTTGATCTCGCATTAATAACATGGAGATTATGGGTCTTTCTGCAGGTACCGGAAAGCTTTGTATTTTTGGTCACTTGGGATTAGTCTTTATTTGGAGTTGTTTTGTTTCCTGTCTTTTATTACTATTGTATTACGTAATCTGTGCTCCGGTACTCACAGAAGGAACCGAGATTATCAAATCTTTTACAAAAATAATAACCTGTTGTTACTTTCACAACTGACTTGAAATCTTTCAGGTACAGCAGCATTTCTGATTTCATTGTCTTTACTGGTCAACATTCCTTTTTCAGACTCACTTGGTTCAAACACCTGAGGAGACAAAATGGCAGACTGACATTCTTGCTTTACCATTTTAGATAGATCTTTGATAAGGGAACGCGTCCAAATATCGGCATCGGGTCATGCCGATGCCGATCAATCGGGTGCCAATTTTTTCCGATTCTGTTTTCAATCGGTACCAATATTATCGGTACCGAATGAAACAGAATCGGCAACGGGTCAAAATTCTTTATCGGGCCAATTCACAGAAGTCATCAAATCTTGACTTATATCTGTCAGCCTTTGTCAAAGGGTTGAAATCGTCGGTCACGCTGCGTTACTGACAAAAATTATATAGGGCAATGTTTATGTCAACAAAAGCAAAGCGTGAATGATTGAGTTTTCAATGCACAAACAGGCTGGGTAAGACCAAGACTAGTGTTTATCGCCATATTGTACCTAGTCTTTCTAAAATGTGTATTGTTTCAAAAAAAATTAGCGACAAATGCCTTCATCAAAGAGTTCTTATAGAAGACAACACCAGACAACATGAAGAATTTTTGTATCGTGCATCTTTAAGCAAAAGATAGGGCACTGAATGCATTTACGACCTTTGAATCCAAAACGCGTGATTCAAGAATCCTTAATTGCTGGAGGAATTTTAAAATCTTTTAGCCAAGAAAATAGGGGACAGAATACTGTCAGATCAGGCATTCATGACATTGCATGTACAGGAGTGAGCTTAACCGGTTAGAATTGGGCAAGTTCTCTCATCAAACTCGCTGGATCTTTCATTGTTATGTTGATTGCACATTCCGTTGACACTCCGAATTTTTAAAGAAACAACTAATTTTTTGCTCTTTTCTGAAACGAGATAAAACGAAGCATTCCATAAAATTTATTAACTCGAGTTAAAGAAAGGAAAGAAAACTGCTTTTAACAAACCAGCTTGCGACGTGCGAGTCAACTCTGATATTTAAACTGGATATGTAGGCAGAAACAACTTGAAAACGCCGTTCCCTACAGTGAATTGAATTATGATAAACTTTTAATTGCAATTGAAACAAAATACAAAATATAAAACTAGCTTGGAAGCAATGTTTACAAGTCATAGTTATACAGGTGACACCTACAAGTTTGAATAAAGTTTGTAAATAAACAGCAAGTTAGTACACTTATTTTGTATAATTTTATATATTAGAAAGTACCCCCAAAGAACAAGAACTTGTATTTCCGCCCATTTGCACTGAGCTACTGGAGCTACTAGAAGGACCAGCAGTAAAATCACAGAAAGTGGGCTCGATTTGGGTGGCAAAAGAGGATGGCGTGCTTTCTATTAGGGTGTCCTCATTATTCCTTGCATTAAATGAAGTAAGGTCATTACAATCATCCAAGCTGAAACACCGATTTTTATCTACACCATGTGAATTAGAACGGTTGGAAGATGGAAGTCAGATACTTTGGGAGGAAGGAGGAGAGATAACAGGGGTCGACGTGCAGCTGACTATAGTAGGAGTGGAATCCACTGAAACTGGGGTCATTGAACTTCTTGGACTGGGCCTGGTTGAAACTGAAGAAAAGGCTGCAATCTGCAGAGCTTCTTGTCTTTTCTGAAGTCTCTTGTTCAAGAGCTCATTAATAGCGCTTAACGATTGTTGAATCTTGGTTTGATTTGGCAAAAGTTTTTCTTGGTTGTGACAAATTTCTTTTAAAGCATCCTCAAACTTCAGCTTTTCCAAAACATCGTCAATGTCGTCCTCACCCCTCATTTTGTCCTGTATAAAGGCAGCAAGACAGTCAAAGTTTTTCATTAGGTTAAATGGATCACACAGAACTCAGTTTTCACTTTAAAGGGGTTGTATCACGGGGGCTGTCTAGGTCTTTTGTATATTATTGCCAACTACTTGTCCTTATTCACAATGGAACTTGAAATGTTACTTGTGAGCGACAAAATTCAAGCTTTGTGACGGCACTGAACAAAAATGTTTCACAAGCATTTCAAACCTTACAAAACTGAACAAAAATGACCTTTGAGAAAACTAGGCAAAAAGTAACCGAGCCTCTGTTTGTATTTGTTGTAACTACACTGTACATTGGTTACATGAACTTATAACTTCTTTTATCGTTTTGAGCAGCTATTTGTGTGTTTCATCTTAATTTTGTGGAGGTTTCTGTCTAAGGTTTTGATCAGAAATTTCGTTACACAGCTCATTTAACACCTGTACAGACCTGTACGGGTAATAAAATAATCATAATTCAAAGGAATGTGAAATAAGGCTTAATTCACCGGAAAAATTCACCTATTATATACAGGAAATAAATATCACCGAAGATAAAATGGTGGGGTTGGGAGAGGGGCTCCGGAATGCATACATTTCTTTATACAACTGAATTATTAAAATTGATTCAATGAACGAACTCAGTTGGTTTCGCTTCTATGTATGTAAAAAGGGTAATCCGACATTGACTAAATTGCATGTACACTCACCAAATCCTGCAGATCATAAAACTCCCTTTCTTCGTCTTCATTGGCTGTTTCTTCGTCACTACCCTAAAAGCAGAGTTTCTCAACTTTAAAATAATGATTTCGACAAAAACTCCTATAATCTCTGCCTACATAGTGTGTAAGAGAAATTATATTTTTGAGCTCATTACGGCAGAAAACATATGTTATTTGTCCCTCAGAAGGATTTTGAATAAACGGGTCGGAGGCACAAAGTAAATTGATTAGTTATTTACGGGGAATTTTACTGTTTTCATATACTTCACGTGTTGTGATATATCATGAAGACTATCATAAAGAAACGCGATAAAATGAAAATTAAAATCGTATGTGACATCTTTAAATACTTGGTCCCAATTTAATGTCTTGATACAATATGTACATTCTGCACGAAAAATCAACCACTTTTGTTTCACAGTTTCTTCCTACAGTTTTAATTTGAGATGATGGGGAAAATAATAAATGGATACTCACTAAATGATCTAGGTCCGGTAATTCACTTTCTTTGTTGGTCCATGTAGCTGTGTCCACATCTATAAAGTCTTCCTCGCATGTCACTTCATGAACACTTTCTTCAGGCTCGTTTTCTTTTATGTATTCATATTTTGCTACTCTTCTGCTTTTCAGAGTTACCTGTTGAAAGCAAATAAATTCTTTGTATAGATTGGCACCCGGTTTATACGGACTCGTCAAGAGGACAGAACCGGTGTTTGTTCAATGTAATACACTTTCACAAGTTTTGCACAAAAGTCAAACTTGCATTACTGTATAAAAAAATTTGGGCCAATTGCTTTTATTACTCATCAAAGTTTAGAAAATGTACATAAGGTGATAGACACGGGACGATTTTCAGTGCAACACCGCGTTGCAATGTTTTAACAATCCCCTGTGCTGTGCTAAACACCGTCATTGCGAATCGTCTCATGTCACATCACCTTAAATATAGAAATATACTGATAAATCAAATTGTGCGAGGACCTCCACGCAAGGTCAATCAATCCTTCAATCGAAATATATAAAATTATCTAAATGATAATTCCCTGCGGCTCCCAGAAAGCAATCGGTCAAGGACACAACTTTATCAATGAGATAAAGATAACAAAAAATGAGTGAAAGCAAAAACATAAGGAAGTGTAACTTTTGATATGGAAGGCTAACAACTTTCATAAACACAACAACAGTCAGTGTGGCTCTAACACTGGAACGTTGATGGACTGATTAAAATCCCGAAACTATAAAACGTCGTCATGCTCTTTCGCTAGTGTCATTTAGTAATAAAACCTATTAATTCTTAGATTTGAAACTTCTCATTATTCGAACAACATACAAAAACAGAAGGAAAGAAAATGAAAGGTATCCGTTGGCTGTATTTACTGCTGCTGTTCATATTAGGCGAGTAATTTTACATAAGAGATACCAGCATTCCGTTCCGACAAACAAAACTGTCATGCCCGTCATTATTACACATTAAAATGCAGATGCGGCAAGCCCTCACTGGTTAACGATAAGCTTTGCAACAGATCACTGCTTTATTTTGATATATGGACATCCTCTCCCCCCGATTAAAAGTCATATTTGCAATGTGCAACAGTACTTTCAAATGGCCTGAAGACTACCTTGTGGCATGAAATTTTTGCGGGAGTATATTTTTGCGGATTGACGATTTGTTGTGTTTTGTGGGAACTAATTTTTGCAATTAGGACAGATTGATTTTTCCTGCTGGGAAAAAGTATCCAGCATTGATACATTATTTTCAAACAATACTGCGGTATGCGATGTAAAACCAGTATTTGTTTCATTGTATACCACTTTGTCTTTGAACGAAAGAGACAAGTTGTAATTGAACAGATACAGTTTCTTTTACCGTATTTTTTTGTGTGGCAAATTGAAGTTATTTCCGGGAACGTATTTTTGCGGATCGCTGGAAAAATCCGGGCAAAAACGCAACAATTGTGTGCCACACGGTGGTGCAAGCAAAGAAATACAGGATAACCAAAATTGGCTGACGAGTCATGCAAGAGCATCTTTGAGATATGGGGTCACAGTTGGGTCTCTCTGTCATCCAAAAATCTATTCAGATAAACTTATGTTAAAATGTATTTACCCTGCTGACAAAAAATAGGATTTTGAAAAACTTAATGTCTCACCTCTCCTCTGAAGCAATCGTTTTTTGCCGCCATTTCTGCCTCAGACCAATCGTGGTTGTGGCACACTCAGACAAGGTCATCCTTCTGCAGATGCTTGGGTGTTGTCGTTTTGGAAAATTTGATTTTAACACTGGACGTCGCCTATCCAAAGGCCTTTCTCCTTCAGGTTTTCGGACTTCCAAGGCGTCCTGCCAAGCATCAAAATACCTTGTGTAGCCTGCCCAGTGTATTAAAACTCTGCCACCATTGTCCAATCAAGAACAGTCCCGTTCAGCCACTGTCCCAACACAGGATCAAATGCCTGAACCTTATCTCCATTCTTAAAGGCAGTCGCAGACTGTGAAAATGCAAAAAAAAATCATGATTAGGAAGATGAAACGTCTAAGGGAGGATTTCCACTGTTGCATAATTTCCATGAGCGTGTGCTGAAAACGTTATACGCGAATAAAATCAGCAGAGGCAATGTATTAAAGGCTTCGGAAACGTAACATCCGTGAACAAGGTTCAACTTTCACGTTTGCGTGCGAAACATTGCCTCTAGTTTATTCAATATGAAATGCACCTATTTTTACACTGTGACTAATATGATGATTGAGAAAGATCAATGAACGAAATAAGTTTTCTGCAAATTACAATAACCATGATAAAGTAATCTAAAGTAATCTGTTTTTTTTTTAAAACCTATTTGCGCCCATAAACTTATGTTTACGACAATAATAGAATTCAGATTGTTTATCCATATATTTAATATACGGTGCACGATATTTTCTCTGGAAACACAATACTTTTCTTGCTGTTTGTTGCACTTTATTGAGTAACAGTTATTTAGTTATATATTTATAGAAAACAACAACACAAAAAACAGAAAAAAACAAAGAAAGACGGAATACAGAATTTGGTGGGACTCTTGAATTGAAATCCAATCCCCAAGTTAACCATCATACTAATCTGAAAGACTCCTGCGTGTCTTAAAATTTGGTAAGACCTCTAACCGTGCTGTAGAAAATTTGCCACGAAGAAAACTCTAAGTCTGAGCAGCGAACGATGCACTCTCTCACCCACCGAACTTCCCCGTGTTTTTATTTGAGTTGTTCGTGGAGCAATGCACTCTGGTTAAATGCAATGCATTGTGGTAAAAAGTGATGAATTCAAGAATTTGTCGCCCCTTATATATTTCCTTTAAATCCTGATTATGTTGCTGCTCGCTCCCTTCGGTCACTCCGCAGCAAATATAGGATCAACAAAATCAACTCTTCTGACTCTACAGGGAGAGAAAGTTTATTATTGTTGATCTAATGCACCTATCAATGTAGATCCCGTGGGGGGAGGCGGCAAGGGGCGGGGATTTGATGCCTGAGACTATCCCCCGGTCGGGGTTTTGATCGTGCGAAGCGACCCCAGGGTCGGGACATTTGACTTTGACCGAGAGAAGCCTGGTATCAATGCAGAAGCGGTTAGCAAGTCCGTCCCTCCAGTAGCCTGTTCCAAGCGTTCAGATAGTGGAGAGCGGTGCGAAGTAAAGAAAGCAATGAAAAGTAGAGGGGGACTGGGGAGAAAGGTGCGGGAACGCTTGTAAGAATTTTTAACAAAAGTGCGTTCCGGTATACCAGATCCTGGTATACCCTCTGATTGGTTGATTTTGACAGTTTTTGTCAACAGTGGAGCGTCTTCGATCACAGCGAGAAATGTGATATGGCGGTGATAACAGACTCTACGTCCCTTCCAGAATTCGAACTCGCAACAAACACAGCGCTAAGTGACTTTCCAAACGTGGAGGCTAAACGCGAAGAGCAAAGGAACTGTTTAAAACACGTAGTGGGCAGGATAGATGTCTTCGCAATTTCACCAACTGGCTTTGGAAAAAGACTTATTTTCCAGCTTTTTCCTCGAATAAAGCGTGTGCTGGAATGAAGACAGGATAGAATGCCATTTACGATGTATTGTTGTGGTAACTCCGTTGATTGCCATCATGAAAGACCAAGTGGAACATTTGAACAAAATCGGAGTAGCGGCGGCAATGATGGGAGAAAATGTGGATGAAGCCGTTAAAAGTGGAAGCTGTGAAATTGTATGATCCTTAAAAATTCACTCAAAGGCGTACTGCAGTCACAAATCGTGGTTGTCTAAGGAATGAACAAAAGGACTTCAAAAGGAAAGCTTGGAAAGCAAGTTGCAGCTATCGCTATTGATGAGGTCCACTCAATCACCGAATAGTAAATTTTCCCTTCGTTTGTTGGGCATTTTCATTGCTCGAGTTAACCATCTGTATTGAAACGGCTTTCTATCGAAATGAGCGATATTTGTTTGTCACTTGATTCATAATTTTTTTGTCACGTACACGCTGAAATCATGTTTTAAAGCTGTAAATAAATTACTTCTCTCGCTCTCTATTGTCTGAGAGTCTTACATTAGGTTTTTAGTAAGACTATGTATACATAATATTAATTTTTGATCTGAGAAATTTTGATTTATTCGTAAGAAAAATAATAAATGGATGGGTCTGTAACATCAGTCTTGATTGACAAGTGAAGACCACCTACAGCTGATGTGGTCTGAGTGGGCGGATGAGTCTATTTAAAACAAATCTAACAGGCGTTCCCTCTCTCACCTCTTCCCCTCCCTCGCTTTTATTTTTCCGCGCTCCTTTTTACTTCGCACCGCTCCCCACTATCTGAACGCCTGGAACAGGCTATCCCTCCAGGCTTTCTGAAAGTCACGCTACTGGAGAAAGGTGTGAAGTTTTCATTTGTTTTAATCGCCATAATCCGATACTTTAAACTGTCATCTAAACAGATAATGTCTATTTTGAGAAAGTTTTATCTTCAAGTTCCCATCTGACTGTAAAACTTGATTGACATCAAATTCCACCATGAAACTCAGAGGATTTTTTACGGGTCACTGATCCGACCTGTTCCGACATGTTGAGCAGATGTTATAAAGCATTTTGCGTTTCATTAATATTATAATAGCACGGTCAATCTTCCTAGAGTGATTTTGTTGTTCAAAACAAGAGATGCTAGTGGACAGAGAAATACTTAATTACAGCGAGTAATTTAACGGAGCTTACGTTTAGTAAGGACGTACTTTTGAAATGTTCTTTTAATTCATTTTATACAGGAATAATAGTATTGTTTGTTTAGATTTTTCCCCTGGGGTGGGGGCTTTTTTGACACTTTTGATTGACCTTTCATTTCCCACCCTGGGGAATTTGATCAAAAAATTTAAAAATTTGTCAAATTCCCACCCCTTGCCCGCACTCCCCCCCACGGGGTTTACATTTATAGGCACATAAGTTTAGCACAGTGAAGGGCACCGTTATGACGAGCATTTTTTATTACAGTTTAAAGGTGAACTTTTTAAAATATTACACTTTGGTTTTAAAGTGTATGAGTACGGTGGAAAGAACAAAGATGACCCATGAGAGATAACCATGCCACGCGGGGCATAAACTTTGCCGGTTTGTGTTTTTAATATTGCCTGAGCTTGAAGCGAGTTTTGAAAAAGAAGACATATTTTCGCATATTTAAAACTTTATTCATTCACATTCAGTTCCAATAAGCTTTAGTTTTGTTAGGTGGTCATGAACGGTGAAAAACTATCTATCTTATCGGTGGTAGTTTTAGCCGTAGGTTGAGCTCTAACGGCACGTCACATTATTTTTTCAATTCTCACGTTACCGATCACGAAAAAAATCAGCATTCGAGAATATGTTCTTAAGTTGACCTGTCAGTTTTACCACGGAAAAGAAAAGAAAAGATTCTAGTTTTACCATTATGGGTATGCTTTCACTAGGCCTATAGTAATAATATATCATAAAAGGAATAATAAGTCTTTCATTGTTTTAACATGTTTGTGTGACCTCAATCAGTTCCGGTCCAGCCCCCTTTCACTTGATGGGAGTAAAGTTAATGATGATAAAATATGCTGCAATACTTTTCATTGTAGAGTCTAAAACCTGTAGATTAAAATTTTAAAATGTCAAGCACAAACTTTCTTGAATTTAGAGAGACAAAACTGAAAAGCAATTTCATCAGGCCCTACCATGCTTACGCTTGAAGAACAAGTAAGTCACAAAAGCCATTCTTTTTGTAGTCAGTTTGGCAGCTAGGGAGTCAAAACGAATTTTTATGAGAGGTTTTGAAATATGACTCGCTCTACATTTTGTTAGAACAGCGTGGAAAAGTTTGTAAGCAATTACCGATCGGATGACAGAAAACAAAACGTCGAACAGCCTTGTATACATCTTCGAACAAACTTATAAGGCAAAAAAACATCCACTGAAGTATTGTTATAATTACTTCACTATGGAGAACAAAGCAAGTTTTAAAGACCGGGCCAGCTGCAACGCAGGCTATTTTGTTGAGTGAAATGATTCTTTCATTATTTGGTTTTGTGACAAAAATTGTTTGCAGAATCACATATCCTTATCAGATAAATGTGATACCCCATCACCCACATCGGAATGTATCTGGCTCCGATTGAATTGGCAAAGTTTTATAATTATCGGAAACGGCAATTAGTGCCTACAGATAGGTACCGATTCTGAACCATAGGAAAATTGATCGGGTCCGTTTCCCATGATCGGGTTGCCTACCGATATTTGGACGCATTCCCTAAGCTTAATGGAGGTTTCTAATAACTTTATGATTATTAATTCAAAATATTTTGCCCTTTCTAATTGGCTCCAATACTCTGGGTTATTCTTCATAACCATGCAGCTCTCGCTTACCAAATTTGGAAGATGTAAGCAATAATTATACTATTGATTTGATGGGATCTTGCCTAATAACCTATCTATAAACCTTGCTTCTAAGCAAGTAGCCTAGCTGTTGTTTTCCTGATTGGAATAAAAAAAAATGGCATTCATGGCTATCCAAAGATGAAATAGCTGGATTTCTGACAAAAATTGAGACCTCAGAGGCTGTTATTGGACTTCTCCTTCAGCCTCGGTGGATAACATTCTTCTCCATCGGCATAATTCTTCACATCATAATCAGCCTAATTCAATAATATTATTGTTGATGATAATTATAATAATACAGTCTGTACATGTAAGTTAGAAATTAAAAGGTTTCAGTTTGTTATTCTCATTTCAAACAAAAAAATCAAAATTAATTATTATTTTTTTCAACTCTTCCTCTCAGGACAACAACAATAATTATTGCACTTTTCTATTGGACAAGTTGACATTAATAATGTTCTTACCAAGTGACAGAAGCCCTCACAAACCTCACCTCATAAATTGATTTTTTTTGCGGATTTTTTCTTCTGCCTTCTTAATGCTCCATCTTCCCCATCTTCCTGTTCATATTCATCTTCATCCTCGTCTCACGAACTGTCATCTCTTCCATACTTTTTAAATTCATCAAAATCAAAGTCCAGACCAAAGATGTCTTGAGCTTCCTTGAGGGCTCTAACATAACAGAAACCTTTCATGAGTCCACATAAATTTTATTGCACTGTCTCTGCAATACAACTACAACTACTACCACTCCCACTACTACTACTACTGTGTAGTACAGTATACTTAACAATTATTCCACGAGGGCGCGTTGGATATGAGATGATAGATAGCCAACGAGGCGCATAACGCCGAGTTCGCTATAATCATTTTATATCCAACAAGCCCGAGTGGAATAATTGTTTTATTAAAAACGCCCACAAAATCTCGTTGAATCGCCCCGACTAGAACAAACAGGAAAAGACAAGGGACTTCCGCTATTGACATGTCACACATCTATCAAAACTGTCAACGCGCGAACGGACTCGCCTGGACTGCATGAATGAAAAATCAAAACATTGTGCGATGAACATTAGTTCTTTAAAAACTCATCGTGATTCTAGGATTTTACACAGCAGAACAGCTTAAAAAACCTGGCAGATAATGTGAAGGAAAGGAATTTTTAAGTGACAGCCGTCGAAATTACTATGAATTTGGATTTTTGGTGCAGTTATAAAAGTAAGAACAACGGAGAAAAACTACCAGTATTACCTCGGTCACTTGTTATGAAGTTGTTTGAAGCCACAAGCTGGTTTTGCTGAACGAGAAAAGAAGCTATATACTGCCGCCTCGATTGCTCTAGTGAATGGCTGCATAGCCTGTATTTGTGGCTGGTTACTTGTGATTTATATTCTTGATGTCGGATAAACAAGCTGCAGTTATCTATCGGCGAGTGACTCGATCGGCGAATGGCTTCGCGATCATGAAGAAACAACACTTGTCTTCTTTCGTAGCTGGTCAAGCTACTTTAGTTCCATGTGTTTTTCGACAAACTTTCAAACAAGCTCTTGTGGCTTTTTTGTTTGTTTTTGTCTTGTTTCTTTCGTTGAAATTGCATTTCTAGTATTCTAAGAAATGAATTAAAACGATTTGCTTCGGGCGCCGTTCTATCCTTCGCGAAAAAAATCTCAGCTAGCTTCCAATTTTAAACTGACGTGTACACCGACCATATATGGAGAACATGGTATATTAGCTCATATACCATAACGGCTAAGCCAATCAAAATGCTAGAATTGCATTATCCAATGATTCAGTTTTTAATAAACTGCATTATATCCTATGTGATATAACATTATCATTACTTCATGATTTATAATAGCAAAGAGAGCACCAGTTCTCAAAGCACCCAATGCAAGCAGTGATAAACAGGTTATGAAATATAATCATGGGCACCAGTTTGAATTTTGGGGTGCTTGAGCAACTACCTGGTTATTATTTCAGAGCCAGTGCTTTGTTGCACCTTTTGCCCCTCTAAAGGCCACAAGAAGTGCCAGTTTTTGCACAAGCTGTACACCATCTTCATTCATTATTTGACAATGCTTTTGCATCAAGTCAATATAAATTAAATAAATTACAATATCAGAAATACAATAATAGAATAAAAATAAAATAAAAATAAATAAAAAATTATTTCTTAGTAAATATATTTAAAATTAATTAATTTATACAAGTAAATGAGATAAACAGCAGTACAGTACACCATGAATTTCATAGGTGAGACCCTTTGAGCAGCAATTTTCCTTCCATACAATCTTGCCCAGTATGGTATCATGATATGTTTTAGCAGGAGCCCATAGCTTATAAAAAGCTTACCAGGCAAGATCAAAGTACAATGTAAACTCAAAAGCAGTGCTGGCATCGGGTCATAACATCAACCCACACCAGGGTCATCATTAAGAGCCGGGGGCCGGGGATTTTCCCCGGCTACTATGAGTGTGGCCCCCGGCTACTTTTATTGGAAAATAGAAGAAAAATAGAACCAAAAGAAATCCCTAGCTGTTTGATTCCCTGCCTACTTGTTGTATTTACCCGGCAACTTGAAATCTTAGTGACAACCCTGCACACAATGTTAAAGTTCTATCTGACTAAAATCACACCATCAAGTATCAAGGAGGCCTGATCACCATCAAAGAAAACCCTCTCTGAATAGTGACAAGGGACTGGAACTCCCAGCCATTTACAATCCTCTCCTGGGAATATGCAACAACCTTTCTTTTACATAACCTGAAATTTTATATCACTGATGAAGTTCAAGTGATTCAAGCAAAATATTCAATTTGTTTTAAACAATTTTAAAAACTATTAATTTATCACTGTACACATTAAATCAATTCAGCAAGGATGCAGTGATATACTGTAAAATTCTGAAAATAAGCCCCGGGGCTTACAATATGTAAGGCCCTTTTTGAGGGGCTTATTTTTGGAGGTGAATTTACGTTTCAAAATCGATTGGGCTAGCTTATAGTTGGAAGGAAATTTACCGTTTTTGCTTTGTTTTACTTTGTATTTGATGGCAATTTACAATTACAAGCCCTCGGGGGGCTTATATTTGGAGGGGCGATTTCATGGAAGGTTTTTTGTGTTACGAGTTTGGGGGGCTTATATTTAGAGGGGCTTATACATGGAGGGCTTACATGTATTTTCGGAACTTTACGTTACTTACGAATCATGCTCTGCTCCAGAAAGACACCTTTTGTTCTTGGCCTGCCCGATAGGGTTTCCTTCATCGTCAACAATAAAGTCATCCACATCTGAGCAAAGATCATAATAATTAAAGATACATCATAACTTTGATGTTAGAAATAAAGGGATTGTGTTTATAGCAATACTCGCTGTTTACAAACACTGTTTTTGTTATTTAAATGTGTAACAAATAAAACAAAAGAATATTTAGTTTCAAGACCCTATGCCCTTAGGGTTGGCACATTAATACCAATAGGTCATGCCAGCGTGAGTATCACTGTGAACTGCTGCACATGTAGCTCATGAAAAATTTGACTGAACATTTGTCATTAAAAAAAAAAAAAAAATTAATGTGATTGACAACCATCACCTTACATGTACATAATAGGGGCATGGTAAAATGGGACTAATATAATGTCCTTGGAAACCATAATGATGCACTTCTTGGGAAATAAGCACAATTATTACAATACAAAATTAATCATGTATACATGAACAAATAAGAATTAATGAGCCAGTAATTAAAGATCCTTACAGAGGATATTACAGGTAAAAGATCTTTTAAAAATAAATAAACAAGATTAATAAATAATTACTTATTTGTTTGATTAAAAGGTTAATTTCAATGTTAAATAAAATTTATTTGATAAAATATATGGTTTTAAGGATGACAACTGCTATTTGAAGAATATTTGTTATCTAAACTAAACATCCCTTTACTGGTTTTGAAACTGCCAAAGAACATGCAATTACAAAGAAAAGTATTAGGAGCATGGAGGGAGCAAGTTGCATACGTTTTTAACTTGGAAATAATTGTGAATGAATAGTAAAACAATAATAGTCTTTAGTAAGAATTATACAGCTCTCCAGGGGGGCTTGATCTGCATAATTCTTTGCAAAACAGTGACTCCAAACTGACTGCAAAAAGAAGATGTGAAACTCAATATAACTTTAACTCTTTGAGAACCAAAGGTGCTAAGAAAAAATGTGTCAGGCAAGAACTTTTTTCCATCATATTCAATTTCTAACAGTGAGGTTGTGTATTTCTAAATAAATGTCATTTCAAGAAAGGAAGGGGAATTTTTGACCACAAGAATAGCAACTAAAATAATCAACTAATAACTTAAAAGAAGAAGCATCTCAGTCAGAGAAAAAGAAAACTTAAACTTACTGTAAAAGTTCAAATTTGGTGGAGAAAAACACGAAAAGAGACGAACATATGCTTATCTGTTTTCCCTAATCTCCAGCCCCGCTGTAAGAGTAAGTTCACTCACTGGATGACCCTATCATAAGCAGCATATTCAAGCAAATCTGTCCACCCCAATAAAAGAACTGGGTCAAGAATGAAGAAAATTTATTAGATTTAAAAGTGTGTTAAATTTGTACAGGAGAAGCTCTCAGATATGGTATTTATACAGCAGCAGTCAGTATAAAACACGGACTGCAGAATGGGGATAAAACATGGACTAGGTATAAAATGCATACTACAAACTACGGACTGTGTATAAAAACAGCCTTAGAAAGGTAAAACTGAAAGAAACGGATGGCGGACTGGCATAAAACAGTAGTTCCAGCTCCTTGCCTTACACACAAACATCCCTTTGGTTGGTCACGCAGTCTATTCTCCCCAACATTGGCATGGAGAAGGAAAGCATAACGAAGGTTATGCCACTACTCAAGGCAACTGAAAATGAAACCCTGAATTTTATAAAAAGGAGGAGTTAGAGGAGAATCCGATTTATAGTTTTAAACCAATAGAAGATTTGAAATTGAGAGGCACCGAATTTTAAAAAAATAGTATTGGTGTTAGTGAGAGTGAAATTCTTATTCAGATGTAACAATAATGCCTTGAGGATAATTATGACTAATGAGGAAATGAAGAACCCATGACAAGAAGATCAATATAGGGGCATTTGCTACAAAAAAAGCTGTATTTAGGGGGGGAGGGGTTTACTCACCTATACATGAATGATAACCCAAAAATATCATCCAACATTACTTCTAAGTGATGATGACATGTTTTACACCTATGCAAACATGTAATATTTTAGACCAGGTCTAAAAATGGGTGTAGAAACTAGCATTTTGGTGAGGTTCAGGAATCGCAGAACCTGGCGGCACACCTCCACCAAGAATTTCTAGAAGTATTTGTAACTGTCTTAAACTCACATGTTGTGCTATTTAGCGATCTTTTGATCTTATTTTACCTTGACTTGAACCAATTAGCAAAGTTTTTACCAAGATAGTCCGCAGTCCACATTTTATACCTAGTCCGTGTTTTGTACCCAGTCCACAGTCCGTGGTCCTCAGTCCATGTTTTATACTGACCGTATGTAGCGGCATCCACGCAAGGCTCTTTTGGTTGTTTACACTGTATAATTCTTTGACCCATACAAGCAAATCTGAAGATAAGAAGGCCTGTAAAAGATACAGATTGGAAAACTTTGACTGGCCGCCTGTCATTATTAAAGACATTGTATTTACAGTGTAATGCATACATACATACATGGGATTATTAGAACCCTGAATAATTATGGGTTTATTAGAAACACAAATATTTTGTTAGGTGACATTCTGCTTTTTTTATTCCATATTCTACTTCCAAATAATCGAGTAACAAACATCTTTTTACCTGCTAAGCAGAGCATGTATTTAGAAAATGTTATTCATCCTCCATTTCTATTTTACAAATTGGGAAAATTCTTTCTTCAGGTTTCTTAAACGGTCTCGAATAACGTCCTGTCTCTATGGCTAATTCGTGGTTGCTTGGTCACAGTTCTGTTAGAGTTATTCTGTGTTGCGTATTGGCAACCTGATGTACAAAATAAAAAATGTACATAATCTTCACATTTCTAATATCTATTGTTTTGAATAACCAGTAGGTTCTCATTTTGTTGCTTTGGTTAGCATCTTTTCTAGTGTTGTTATTTATTTCACTCAGTTA